TCCAATATAATCAAATATAAACATAAATACAAAACAACAATTCATAATAACGCAGACCATAGTATCAGGTCAGTCGTCGTGATGGCAAGACTGTACTGACCTCGGAAGGCTTGACTGGTTGACTTCTTTTGGCTACAATAACATCATCAATTTTCTCTTATTAACGGATTTACTGACGTGACTTTTATCGACCTAAGGGTAAGCATCGACCACTTATCGGTTTGTCTGTTCGTGTCCCTCAATCACGTCATTGCCTTTACTCCAGTATCCAGCTACATTGAGCAAGGTTATGGCTGAGCAGCTGAGAGTTACTCATCTGTTCAAGAAGCCCTCTGTCTATCATGGATCCCGAAAGCTTATTAGCATGTTCACAACGTTTAGCCAATGGTTCCTACCCTACACCCGAAGGGTCCACTCCATATTTTTACGTATCTTACCAATTCTTTAGGATATACCCTCGCATTATCCTACCAGATATTCCTAAGTCTCCCAAGTGGCCCGTTCCTTTCCAGAGACCCGAGTTAGAAACTTAAGCAGCACAAATTTCTGTCGACGTAAACAGTCTGGAATCGTACAGCAATGATCCTTGGCAGGTGACAAACTGTCCGAATTCCTGCTGGATGGCAGCTTGATCCCAAGCAGTCGGTCAGTTGTCTGCTGCTATGCAAACAGCAGATTCGTCACAGTCTCCATCGTCGTCTGCCTTTATCCTAAATATCAATTTTAACACTTTCTCTACAGTGGATTCATTTCATAAGAATTATGTACTGATGTGTATGTATTTCTATTTCGTAAATAAACGTGCTGCACACTCAGCCCATTTCAACCTCCTTCGCGGAATTCCTTACACAAGTTCTCATTATGAAACATATCCTCGTTGCCGTATTCTTTTACTCTTCTTAGTTTCAAATACTGGCCTATCACAAAGATCGTGCAGTCTAAGACATGAACCATTTTCGCTCGCTCGAACGCTGGGATCGTGGGTTCTAATCCCACTTGAGGCATATATGTCTGCGTGCGTTTATTCTGTTTATCTTGTTCTGTGCGTAGGTAGAAGCCTTGCGATGGACTGATCCCCCATCCAAGGAGTCCTACCGGTTATGTATAGGATTAAGAAACTGCAAAAGCGGCCACAGTCCAATAAGAAGAGCTGTAGAGCCATGGATGGTTGGCCGTACGTGGCCGTATCATAGCTCAAGCGGTTAGTCGCTGGCTTCCCACAGCAGCTTCCCGGTTTTGAGCCCGGGTGAGGTCATGTGGGATTGTTGTGGACAAAGTGGCGCTGGGGCAGGTTTCTCCGAGTACTTAGGTTTCCCCTGTCAATCTCCATTCCACCAGTTGCTCCACAGTCACACTCACCTATCATCTGGGGCTGGTACAGTAGGCCAGATGTGGCCGCAGTACCAAGTGGACGCAGTCTCACCCCACTAAGAATAATAATAAAAAAGGAACAGGTGTTTACGTGAACCATAAGGACAGTGTTAGTTAAAAAAGAACCGGCGCACCTATGTGAATCCCCTCCCCTCAAAAAGAATAACCATTCCCTTATGGGATTATTTCTTCTTTTTAAAGGTTTGCTGAAGCCATAAAACGAACTAAAGTGGAACGCCAATGATTCTAAGCGAAATTCCGGCGATGTGCATGACGTCACGCCTACGTCTTGGCAAATACTGCGTCATCGTACTAATCGAAAGTTAAAAAAAAAAAAAAANAAAAAAAAAGATCATTTGCACCGCAGAAAAGCGAAGCTTAATCTATCTGTGAGGGGAACGGGGGAAATTACTGTCAGACAGAATCCATTCGCAGTGCTATAAATTACGACTAATCGATCCGGTTAATCGATCGATTTTTAATTTACTCGTATTATTTCAACGAATAAGCTTCAAAGCTAATGATTTAACATGGGACTTGACTTAAATTTGAGCAAAGTTTGCTGATTCTGTATATGCTCTAAGTATATTCGACTTGTTACTATCAGCATCGAGAATCAAAAACAGTAAAGCAGGACACCTTGCCAGTAGGAGTAATCGTCAAACACCTCGTATTCTATTGGTTGATGGAAAGAGTCGAAACCGCAATTTTCTTTTACCAAAGTTTTGCTGAAAATATACTTTATTGGAATAGTAAAACAGTTTATTCATTATGCCATTAGGACGTGCCATAATTTAGGCGGTTAATCACTGACTTACCACCGCGGCTGCCCGGGTCGGGCCATGTGGGATTTGTGGTGTACAAAGTGGGACTGGGGGTGGGTTTTCTCCGAGTACTTCGATTTCCCCTGCCAACTCTCATTCCACCGAATGCTCCACACTCATCATCTATCATCCGGGGCCTGTAAGATGGGTCAATTAATGTCGGAAGTAGCAAGTGGACTCAGTCTCAGCCCCATCCCAAGAAACTATAATGAAAATCTTATGAATACACATATTCTAACGCCAAGATTTAATAGAATTTTACATAGGGTTGTATTTAGACGCTATGCTTATTAACATAAAATTAACGGAGTTGCCCGTCTTTCCTTGTTTTCTTAAAATAAACTTCGGGGAAATTAAGAATTTGTGTATTTCTTGTGGAATGTTTATCAATATGCATTCGCGTTGAACAATGCCTGTAGGTTTCGTTTGCATTTTAAAACCAATTATGGTCGCTTAGCAACCAGAAGAGGAAAACAGAAGACTGGACAAAAGCATGCATTGTATAATGTGACAATTATGAAAAACATTCATTCAGTGATACAATTTCCACGCCTAATTGGATACAAGGATGTAACGATAAGATTTAACTTAACTTCGACTCACTCACGGAGCTGAACCCTTCTTGATGAGCCGCCAATTGTGCAGCTACTCAAGCACTTCCCAGTATTTTATGGAACCTGAAGGTTCATTACTCTACAAATGATTTAAATATGTTCCTTCTGGACTACAAAACAATTGGTTAGGAAGTCACCGATTAAGTATTGTTAACTGTGATCAGAATACAAATTACGATTAAGAATCAAAGGCCCATTCAATTAAAGCCTATAGACACACTACGCATAGCGTGCATACAAAGCAGATATCGCCGGCATTAATGGCCTACGCTTGTTACCAGCTTCTCTCGAAATATATTAGTGCCTGAAACACGACGCAGTTATTCGATTCAAAAATACTCTGAATAGTTATAAAGAAAACTNAACACTACGCAGAGCATGCATACAAAGCAGCTATCGCCGGCATTAATGGCCTACGCTTGTTCCAGCTTCTCTCGAAATATATTAGTGCCTGAAACACGAAGCAGTTATTCGATTCAAAAATACTCTGAATAGTTATAAAGAAAACTTCTAACTGAAAAAGCGAAATACACATCTCATAGGCCAGTACTTCAAGGAATCTGGATAATTTCGGTTTGACTGCGGTAACAGGGGAGTGTGCCCACGTTGGGGAGGAGGACCCTAGGCAAAATGGGGTGTGAGCTTCCCTCACAAATATACGACGCAAGGCATAGGCCCACGTAGAAACTGAAGAAAATCATGCACAAAGGCAAAATTATCATAAAAACAACATATATGGAATGCGAATTTTTGTCTTATACCAATTTTCTTACCCGTATATACATGTACACATGTATCTATCTACGGCTCTACAGCCCTTCGTTGGACCTTGGCCACTTTTTCAATTTCTTGATCTTTTACTCAGTCGGTAGGACTCCTTGGACCGAGGATCAGCTCGTCGCAAGGACGCTAACTGCACACGAGACAACACAAAGACAGAATAAACGCACAGAGACATACATTACCTCAAGTGGGATTCGAACTCATGATCCCAGTGTTTGAGACGGTTCATGCCTCAGACCGTGCAGCGTATCTATAATATATTAGGAATGAATCAAATTAAATTGAACACAATTTTGCAGAGCACCTTACGGCATCTGAGGAAAAGGCAGAACAGTCAGGTTGATATTTTGGTATCTGTATTGAAGAAATTGTGGCGGTTTTCGCTAAAGTTGAGACGCTTTCGCCTGCCCTTATCCTGAAGCTTAGAGGCCGATAGACGTAAATGACAACCAAGTGAGAATTCAGAAGAGGGTCACCGTGCCCTGTGCCAGTGTACTGTTCCAGGACAGGTGTACAGCTTGAGAAACCCACGCAAACCCTCTAACCAGACACCTTCGAAGTAGGTCGCTAAGTAAGGGTCAGAAACTTCTTGGTGGAGGTCTTCAGAAAGATTTTACGTGAACAGGTACACATAAGTAGCATCTGTTTCCGGCTCGTTTCACAATGTCGATCATCCATCGAAAGTGACGATGGGTCGAGTCACTTCATTGGTGAACTTATTTTTACTATTATTATTTGATTAATTGCTACTCGAAACATACACGGAACTTCACCATGTTCAGTTGCTCCTCCAGCGGTTGTCCTTCCGCTGGACGTGTTTCTGCTGCTAATGCAGTTTGTAAATGTACGGATATTTTTAGAAATTCACGTTTAAATATAAACAACCGTAACTGATCTTTTTTTTTTTGTATTTGTATTGTCCTTGTGTTTTCTTGTTGCTATTGTTTTTGCATTCGCGCTGACTCTGCAACTGGCCACTGGCTGTTGAGCTCAGCACGTACCTGAGAAGTGTATTATTATTATTATTATTATTATTAGTTTGTTTCCGTATATGCATTAATGTGTTTTACCTCCAATGCTTACCTTTAATTAGTCTTTGATTTTATGTTTTGTTTGTCCAGTATGTAAATTATTTTATCTACACTGTGCTGTGTCTGTAATTGGCCTTGCGGCTGTTGGCTCAGCACATAAATAATAAAGAATTTTATTATTATTATTATTATTATTATTATTATTATTATTATTATATTTCAAGACCAAGTAATTTCACTTCTCGCCCTCTTCCGACTTACGTAGAGCTACACGAGTTTTACGAACACGAATTCTGAGCTGAGCAGTCCACACAGTGTCTAACAAACATATATATGACACTCTAATAAATCATAATTGAAAAAATCATGTTGATTACCAAGTGCAGGTCCGCCATTTCTTTCAGGTGGAGAAAAAGCAATGGTTGAAGCAGCAGCCACCAGGAGCAGTAGTACCGTAATGGTCGTCATGGTAACAGACAACAATACACTGATACCTTCCCGTGAGCGAAAGAATTGCCAAGCAGTTATTCTAACCTTCAGCAAGGAGAGGACTATGTTGACACGTGATCTTCTGAAGTTGCTATGACTCAGGAACCGCTTTTGTAACCCGCCTTAAGAGCCATTCCATTTGCATCGTGACGGGATACGAGGACACACGAAGGTAACCGAAGAATGTTGATGTTACTTATCTGCGGTTTCGTCATGGGATACGAGTAGACGTCAGGAAAGGGGCAAGGTGGACCTAAGGCCGCTGCTTGTACCACGTTAGGTCATCAGTTTCCAGTCCGAGGTCTGCAAGAATTACGTTTTTAACACTCATTTTGAATGAAACTTGTTCTTTGACCACAAGGAAAGGGCCCATAGGTTTGTGAGACTTCGAGGCTCCCATATTTTCTATGCAGTCGGGTCACAGATGGCGAAAAAGAAGAACAGGCGGATGGAAAACAATATCATGTAATTAGGGGCGTGATATTTCGTGCCCTTAATTATCGTCTGCTGTCTGAAAACATAAAAATTAAAATATACAAAACTATAAAATTGTCTGTGGTTATGTATGGGTATGAAACTTGGTCTCAGATATTAAAGGAAGAACATAGACTGAGGGTGTTTAAGAACGGGGTGTTGAGAATATTTGGACCGAAGAGAAATGAAGTGACGGGAAGTTAGATAAAACTACATAATGAGGAGCTTCATAATTTGTATTCTTCTCCAAGTATAATTCTAATGATCAAGTCAAGGAGGGTTAGATGGGAAGGGCATGTAGTACGAATGGGGGAGAAGAGGAATGCATATTGGAGATTAGTGGGAAAGCCAGAAGGAAAGAGACCGCTAGGAAGAACAAGACGTAGGTGGTTGAACACTATTAAAATGGATCTTAAGGAGAGAGAATGAGGTGGTATGGATTGGATTGATCTGGTTCAGGATAGGGACCAGTGGAGGGCTCTTGTGAACACGGTAATGAACCTTCGGGTTCCATAAAATATTGGGAAGTTCTTGAGTAGCTGCACAATAGACGGTTTCTCAAGCAGGGTTCAGCTCCTTGACTGAGTGGGTGAATGTTATAAGGTACCGCTTTGAGCTTCTGTAATAAAGGCTGAATCTGCAGAATTGTGTCACCTTGCTCTTCTTGACTCACGGAGCACAAAGTACACATCAACCCATTTTACGAAAGCTCAAATTCTACTTCAGAAAAGTGCTGTAATGTAGCTGTAGGCTTGTAGTGCACCAAACTGAAGTATGCACTGCGGAAATGGCTGAGTGTCGTGACATGGGAAATGTCTGGGAAAGGGGTCTCCTACACCTACGCTGTAAGAAACAAAATGGCCAGGAGGTGAGACAGAAGCTAGTCCGTGCAACGTAAATAAGTTGAAACAAATATTAACAATTCAAAATTAAAGAAAATATCTCTTGAATCTTGAACCTCAGTTACATCAGTACAAATGATGTCTTCTTAATGTCAAGTAAAATTGTCCCTGTGTTTAATTAAGCATAACGCCTTTAAGATGTATGATTAAGTTAAGGTGTAACCCCTCTATTCTTGACATCGGCATTAGAGGGGGGTGAATGGTCACCTTCACGCCTCTGCCGCTTTACACCCGGGAAGAAATACCGGTACCCGCTGGATAGAAGGCTGAGTGGACCCCAGAGTCGGTCCGGACGCTGTGGAGAAGAGAAAAATCTCTTTCCCTTGACGGGGTCGGATTCCGGCCGTCCAGCCGAAGCCCGTCGCTATACCGACTGAGCCATCCCGGTTCCACCCATTAATGTGAGTGACCAAAGTTCACACCGAAATTAAATAACTGGTAGAGGTATTTCTACTCCAGAGATTAATGCGGTTTATTGCTCAGAAAAGTTAGTACCCACCTACCAGAATACGGTGTCATGACTTTGAAGATATAAACAAGAATTTTCATCGCTGTAAAAGCCTCAAATTCTTTATACGATCAAGTTAGTCTATGGTTCATAACATTGCCCACATAGCCTCATTAATATAAACAGCCTTCCGATGAAGAGCGCAGCCTGTAACTGTACAGTGGAGCCTTAATTGTTCTGATGAATGGGTTGGTTTGTGATCAAGGGTCGTACACTGTGGTCTTCCTGCGTCTCCCTTTACAGAGTGTGGCTCAAATAATGGAAACACTAAGAAATTGGGGAACAGAGTTTGTTTGTGTTAGTTACATTGAGAGAACTTCAGTTGGCAACACTGAATGTTCTTCTGTTTGCTTACACTCTGTGTAAGCAAACAGTGTCTGTGCATTAATGATTGTGCTGAGTGACAGTCCATGTGAAAGAATCGGAAAACGGGAGACTTGTTCGATTTTGAAAGAGGACAGATGATTGGTGCGCGTTTAGCTGGAGCACTTGTGACAAAAACTGCCACAATATTGCGTGTAACAAGAGCAAGAGTTTGTAACCTTATGTCGGCATACACGAATCATGAAAAGAGAATATTAACAGAAGGAGAAGGTCTTTCAACTGAGAAGAACAGTTTCGAAAAATCACAGAACTACTGTAGAACAGATGACAGAAAAACTGAATATTCAACTTGAAGACCCTTTTTCAACAAGAACTCTCCGGCGTGAGTCTCACAAACCCAGAACTCCCGGTAAGGCTGCAGTTGCTAAACCTCCGAGTACTGAAAGCAATGCTCAAGCGCGTAAAGGATGGTGTCACACCCATAACGCCTGGACATCAGGCAGCTGCAAACGCACGCGTGATATGGCCAGAAGACTCGTCCTTCACGCGGTTCCCTGCATCAGGAAGAGTTTACGTTTGGAGACCACCTACAATTCGGAATTCCTGGTTCAAACAATGAAACACGCGGGAAGGTACTGTGATGGTTGAGGCAGCAATATCGTGGTACAGCATTCTGTTGGTTCCATTACTACCCCTCATGGCCAAATTACTGCAAGGGAGTAAGTGGCGTGGACAGGTTGGGTAATCGTTATTTCCGAACAAGGATTCAGTTTTCCAAAAGATGATAATGTACCAATTCACACAGCTGGAACTGCTCAATCATGGTTTTAAGAGCATGAAGATGAACTTCAACATCTTCCCTGGGCAGCACATTCACCAGATTTAAATATCAATGAACCACTCTGGTCAGTTTTGCAGGCTAAATTGAGGAACAGATTACAATCATCAATATCTCTTAAACAACCTGAAGCTGCTCTTCAAGAAGAATGGTATAAAATTCTGCTGGAAACTGTTCAAAATCTTGTACGAGTCTATTCCAGGAAGTATTGCTGCTGTATTGAAGGCATAACGAGGTCCAGCACCATAGTGATACAGAAATGTGTCCAGTATTTGTAGTGTTTCCATTTTTTTGTTGTCCAGCCCCTCTACTTTGGTTTTATTGAAGAGTAAATTCTGGGAATCTGTTATTGTCCACTGTGTCAAGATGGTTTAACGACGATTCTCCACGGTCACCGACTCTTTCATTTACGGAATGAATACCTGGTTTATTCCTTATGTTCTCGTCGTTAATTACCAGTTCTTTGCATTATGTGCGCGAAGTTAAGGCACACGGGGAGGTAGCATTCCTCTGTCCTCGTATACCTGCCTCCCTACCTATACGACTGCTTGAATCCACATATCCACGAACAGCAAAGAGACATATTTCACTGAACTATGTCCATACACACCTGCTGCTAACACAAAGCGTATTCAGCAACAAAACAATACGATCCTTCGTGGTGTGTATGTGTTTGATGGCATTTCAATTCTAAACTGCATTCCTATTTTTTCTAATAAGGAATGGTCTTCTCTGAACTCAGAAAACAGGATCTATGTACGAGGGTGCTGTCGGAACGTTCCTGGACTGTGTCAAAAAAATGCTGGCTTAACTTACTCAATTTTGGCTGACATCTCCTTCAAAACACTTTCCTTTGGAACGCATACAGAGATACCGTCGTTTCTTTCCACGCTTCAAAAGGGCCGTTAATGCTCAAATTTTCTGTTAAAACCTCCTGGCAAATTCCATAACTGATCCCAACGATGTCTGTGACCTCATGGATTGTTCAGCAACGGTCTTCGTGAAAGAGTTCTAGATTTTTTCAACATTCTCTGTCGTTTTATTGGTGCTTGGTCGCCCTGAACTTTCGTCATTTTCAACTGTCACTCGACAGGCCTTGAAACATGAATGTCATTCAGAAACCACTGTCCGGCTTAAGAAAGTTCTCCTAAAGCCTCACGAAGCATTTCAAGGGTTTCAGTAACAGATTTACCGAGCTTCACGCAGAACTTGATGCACAGACGTTGCTCGATTTTGTCATCCATCGCAGACAAAATGAAACCCAAAGTTGAAAAAGCACTGGTGTAAAAGTAATGCGTGTTCGCAGCGCGGTGTCACATGGTAGACTGATGCAATAGGCTTGCGGAAGTGTGACCTTGGCCTCCCCTTTGACCTTTAACAGAGGTAGTTAAAAACTAACAGTCCGGGAAATTTCCGATACACCTCATATTAATATTTTTAGTTTATCATTGATTCCAACTGCTAGTGCTCTATTTATACATAACTTATAAGGGTATGTTTCTTCCATGTTACCGTAATGCTGCGGAGTAGTGATAATTTGCAAAAATATACTTGCATCAGCGACGAGTAGACATCAATGTGGGTGAGCGACTAAAAATAGCAAGGACTGCATCTAGAAATTTGGTGAGGAGATTCTGTCTAACACCGTCTAGTTCGAAGACTGTCCGATGTTTCTTATGAACGATCAGTTCTTCCGAGACGCTGGACTCTCTCAAACTACGCTGTATCACGACCAAGGAGGCCGAAGTCTTCATAATAACTTCGTTGTAAACCTAAAGTCCAACAAGTTAAGTATATGCATATTTGCATGTTTCAAGTACGGTGGACTGTGCCCTAGACGGTTTCCTTCCACAGTTTTTGTAATTTATTATACTCATTCGTCCTCTTATTCGATGTAATAACAAGACACAACAAACAAACAACGTTTCAAGCGCATCTGTGAAGAACTCCCATAGGGTAAGTTGTGGAAAGCAAGAAGAGGAAGAAGACATGGACGCAGGGCACAGCTTCTCAACGCATGATTAGCAACTGTGATGCCATTTATTGCTCATATAAATGCATCAT